GTGAAAATGTGTTAGCGCCAAATGGGGTATGGGGTACATACAGATGGATGCCATTGCAAGCAAAGTCTACTTCTCCTTCGCGTTGGCAAGCTMAAATTGATAAATCAGGCTCATTAGTATGGGTGGAAGAGTTGCCATTGATTAAAGAAAAAAATAAAAGGATTGTAAGGGGAGAATGTGCTTCATTTGAGTTAAATAGTTGTGAATACTGGTTAAAGAATGACGTGAGCTTAGAGTCACTTATATCTCTTACAGAATATTCAGGAAGAGATGAAAAAGGTCTTAAAGTAATGGGACTTGTTGATAATTTAACTATAAGTAATGAAATTTTACCTGATTCAGATTTCACTTGGATTATTCCTGAAACTTTAAGCTTTGAAGAAGCTGCAACGATTCCCCATGCTTATTTGGCAGCTTTCTGCATTTTGCATTCGGATACTTGGAGGTTTAAACGAATTAAAACTGTTTTAGTACATTATGGTGCTAGGACAGGCTCTCATAAATTTACCCTTATTTTATAATTTTGATGTTTACACTACCTACGAAACGGATGCAGAAAAACGTGTGATCGAGTCAATGCGACCATGTTTACCACAGTCTAATATTTTCAATGTTAAAGACTATAAAATTGACAGTATGATTATTACTAAAGGCAAAGGTTTTGATTTTGTAGTTACTAGCTATTCCATCTTAGACGATATGGAAATTTGTTTGGACACTGTTAAAGATTTCAAACATTTGGTAATGATTTACGATTTTAAAGGGCCTAGTTACAATTCATTACCACTGTATAATTTTTACCGGGTTATTAGTTTATATGGCTGCTGTTTGCAAGATCTTTTTAAGTTACCACAAAAAAAAAGAGAGAATTAACGGAATTGATGAGAAAAGTTCTACAGGCAGGTACAATAAAATCAATTATATCACGAAGTATTATGATTCAGGGAGCAGCAGAAGAAAGAAAAATTGCGGCTTGTGAACGTTACGGAAAAGTAATTGGTTATATATAAAGTTTATGAAATAATACGTTCGATTTGTTGACAATTATGATACRAATGTATTTTATTACAGGTTTTGGTACACTTGCAAGAAGAAAAAAAAATGTCTAATTTCATTCCTCAACTTTTCTTCCATAGTGATAAATGCTACCTCGTTATCGGCGGTTTCAATATCTTT